ATATATACTTTGGCGGTTAATATTGTGTGCGGTGATACGAGACCAAAGTGAATTTTCACAAGGTAAAGACAATTGGATCTTTAATTCTCCACAAAACAATCACTGTGCTGCCAGTCTGTTACATTCTGATGAAAAGATAAATATGTTGGATGAGGTTTGTACCTGTATGTTCTACAGGTAACCCATTTGATCCAAACAAAAAGGAAGCACAGTGTATCCGCCAAGACTACATATTGTAGTTAATAAACTTCAGCCCGCTCCAGAAGTACACATTTTACATACCAAAATGGGTGGCTTTCTTGTCTCCTCTCATTTACTCCCTCCGTTCCAAAATAGATGACCCAATTTTGTACTAAAATTAATACAAAGTTGGGTCATTTATTTTGGAACGGAGGGAGTACCTGATAGAAAAAGGTTATAGTTAGTTAAGGTGATAATACAATTTACTAAAAACGGACCAGATTCTGATACTTATGCATGGAACTGTTGTTTAATCAGATCTGAAGACCACTAATACAAGAAATTCCCATGAAAAACTATGACAGTGGAATGCCTCCAAAAAAAGAGATATCAGAACTTGGTATGGAGTATCTTTGCAAATTAGAGGCACAAACACTTTGGTGTGTTTGCTTTATGCCTAAGGTTGCCCTGCCAAACATTGGATGGCTAGCCAATTTATTTATTTTTCAGATTTTGCTTCCCCATGTGTTGGCCAACATTGGCTAAAAATTGATCTGGAATTGGCAAAGGAGCATTGGCATGCCAAAATGTTGGTAACTGTCCAAAAATAGATTAAAAAAATCATGGGCAAACAATGTATACGGTATGCTTTGGTCACAAAATCCAAACATTACCCTTCGGGACATGTAATCAACCCTTCATACCGATCATGAATTGGATGTCATTGGCTTTGAGCATATAAAAGACTTGTATGAGCATGATCCTACTTTTCCTACTCCTTATGCCAAGTGTTTGACGCACACCTCTTGGGAACGCTATTACATCAAAGATGGATATCTTATGAGAGCTAACAAGCTTTGCATCCCCGAGTCTTCTCTTCGTTTGTTGCTTTTGCGGGAATCTCATGGAAGAGGCTTAATGGGACATTTTGGACGAGACAAGACGTTTGCGACGCTCTCAAAAAACTACTATTGGCCCAAAATGTTTCGTGACGTCAACCGCTTCACCAACCGATGCTCTACATGCCGCAAAGCTAAGTCTAAAGCTCAATCCCATGGCCTTTACATGCCTCTACCAATTCCATACCAACCATGGGAAGATATTAGCATGGATTTTGTACTTGGATTACCTAGGGCTCGCAATGGAAAGGATTCGGTATTTGTCGTTGTGGACCGTTTCTCAAAGATGGCACATTTCATTCCTTGCAACAAGATAGATGATGCTTCACATATTGCAAACCTCTTTTGTAGGGAAATATTGCGTCTACACGGAGTGCCAAAGACGATCGTCTCGGACCGCGACGTCAAGTTCCTAAGCTACTTTTGGAAGACCCTATGCGCCAAGCTCGGAATCAAGCCACTCTTCTCCACGGCTTACCATCCGCAAACCGACGGCCAAACGGATGTGACAAACCGCACACTCTCCGCTCTACTTCGAGTACTCATCAAGAAGAACATCAAGGAGTGGGAGGAGTGCCTACCTATCGCCGAGTTCGCCTACAACCGCGCAAGACACTCAACAACCGGCAAGTCCCCCTTCGAGGTCGTCTACGGATTCAACCCTTTGTCCCCATTGGACATTCTCCCTCTACCACTCCAAGAGCGCATCAATTTGGACGCAAGTGCACGTGTGACTCATCTCAAGAAGGTGCATGAAGATACAAGACATACTATCGAGCGCCAAGTACAACGACTTGCGACCAAGCTCAACATCAACAAGCACCCCATGATCTTCAACATTGGTGATCTCTTGTGGCTACACCTTCACAAGGACCGCTTTCCCCAAGAACGCAAGTCCAAACTTCGACCACGAGTGGACGGACCCTTTAAGGTGCTTGCACGCTACAACGACAATGCTTACAAGATCGACCTCCCCCGCGACAAGTACAACATGAGCGATATCTTCAATGTCAAGGACCTCTCGCCCTTCCATGGTGATGAAGAATTTGATCCGAGGACGGATCTTCCCCAAGAGAGGGGAGATGATGCGGAGCATCCCAAGGTCATCCCCATGGACCTACCTACATCCCCTACGACACCACTTGGGCCAATGACAAGAGCCCGAGCGAAGGCTATCGAAGATAAGGTGAACTCTCTCCTCTCCGAACTTCCACTTTCTATGCATGAGACATGGCTACTACCTAAGTCCGAGTTGTTGTGCATGATTAGGTACCAAGACGACCCTCCCGAAGATGCACATGAAGATGTACAAGTCCCCAAGTTCACGGATGAAGAGGAACGCCGAGAGAACAAGGCAGCTCCAGGACCCGGACATCCGGCCCCAAGCCCGGACATCCGGCCGCTGGAGACTTCGACCACAACAGCCTACCAGCCGCCGCGCATCTACAGGCCCCGGACATCTGGCCCAGCCCGGAAATTCGGCCTCGAGCTCGGATATCCGGACACCACCTTCCCGAGAGCGACATGGCCAGCTTCACCAGCCCGGACATCCGGCCTCCACAGCTCGGACATCCGGCCCTCCGCGAACGCCCGGACATCCGGCCTCGCCAGCCCGGACATCCGGCCCCGCGTGAAAGCCCGAACATCCAGCCCGACGCCCGGACGTCCGGCCTCCCTGTCTGCGCACAGTAAAGGGCCGAGGCCCGTGTACCCCTTCTACCCCCCTAGACTATATATACTCCACCTCGTCCAACTTTCTAGTGTTAGCAAAGGATTAGCTCATATTTCGTGTGAGAGCTTTGCTCATCCACTTGGTTACCTTCTCCTCGGAGATTCGAGCCTCCACCGAAGAAGATCCCCCAAGCGGATTCAATACCTCTTTTTAGGGAAGAACTCAAGACCTCCTTTGGAGAAGAACCGGCTACCGTGTACCGTCCGTTGTTGACTTTGGATCTTGTATCTCCTATCGAGTTTCGAGGATCTAGCACTTGTGTAATCATTCTTGTTGGTTTGAGTGTCTCCTTGTGTTTTCCCCGTGTTTACCCTCGTTTCCCTCCTCCTGTTCCTCGTGTTCATCGCGGGATCCGCTCCTTTCGTGAAAGATCGGCAGATTAGGGTTCCTACCCTACATCAGCTTGTCTCCAACTTTCTATTAATCCTCGTCCCACTATCAACGACTAGCACCACCTCATCCACAAAGAGCATACACCATGGGATATCTCCTTATATATCCCTTGTGACCTCAGCAAAGCAAAAAAGATACGGGCTCAAAGCTGACCCTTGGTGCAATCATGTTCTGATTGGAAAGTCATCAGTGTCTCCATCACTTGTTCGAACACTTGTCACAACATTATCGTACATGTCCTTGACGAGGAATGTAATTTGTGTTTCTTCAAGGCCCACCACATGGCATTCTGCGGTATCTTATCACAAGCCTTCTCCAAGTCAATGAACACCATATGAGGTCCTTCTTTTGCTACTTCTATCTCTCCATAAATTGTCGTACCAAGAAAATAACTTCCATGGTCGACCTCCCAGGCATGAAACCAAACTGATTTTTTGTCACCCTTGTTATTCTTCTTAAATGGTGCTCAATGACACTCTCCCCCATAGCTTCATTGTATGGCTCATTAGCTTAATTCCACAATAATTAGTACAACTTTGAACTTTTCTCTTATTCTTGAAGATTGGTACTAATGTACTCTTCACCATTCTTCGGGCATCTTGTTTGTTCGAAAATGAGGTTGAAAGGCTTAGTTAGCCATATTGTCACTATGTCTCCAAGGCATCTCCGCACCTCAACTGGGATACAATTAGGACCCGCCGCCTCACCTTACTTCATCCTTTTTAAAGCCTCGCTGACCTCAGACTCTTGGATTCGTTGCACAAAATGTCTATTGGTATGATCAAAGGAGTTGTCCGGCTCAATGACAGAGTTCTTATTCTCTCCATTGAACAATTTGTTAAAAGTACTCTCTTCATTTATTCTTGATCTCCTCGTCCTTCACCAGGAGTCGATTTGCTCCATCCTTGATGCATTTGACTTGGTTGACATCTCTCATCTTCCTACCTCGGATCTTGGCCATCTTATAGATTTCCCTTTCGCCTTCCCTCATGTTTAAACGCTGGTAGAGGTCCTCATACGCTTCACCCCTTGCTTCGCTCACAGCTTACTTTGCAGTCTT